AGACACTGCGGGATATGGCATCGAACCGAAGTCAGTGGCGCGAATGCATCACCTCTTGTCTACAATCCCAGAAATAAATAAAAACGAAAAAAAACTAAAGATGGAGTGCAGTGAACAAACAAAACAATATTGTTACTCCTCGAAGTTGACTGTTTTATTTTCCACGTTTTTGTACCTATATTTTTTCGTTCACCCATGGTTATCTTTGGCACCGTATCTGTAAAGATTGGTGTAAATAATAATAATAATAATGGTTGAAAGACGATTGAATGATAATATTTCAATGGCTGTTTTTTACAAGCAGTATGTTGATGATATTTTGATTTCTACCGACATTTTACCACCATTCTTACACTATTTAATACTAATCCTAATCTCTGTTTCCCTTGAGAAGGAAAAGGACGATCGTTGAACTTTTAGATATGAAAATCAGGAGACGGTCAGATGGCACCTTGCAAAGATCCGTCCACCGGAAGATTACATGGAGTGGACAATACTTACAATTTGATAGTTTCGCTCCTGTGGCAAACAAACGAGGTCTGGTGAAGACTGTTCCATCGTGCCAGGAATATTTGCTCTCCTGACACTCTTCCAGCAGAAGAGACCTTTCTCCGAAGGACGCTACTGAATAATGGTTATCCAGATAAATCTATTGATGTGCATAGCACTCTAAGGTCACCGGTTGATCCCGTCTGCGAAGTACCGAAGAAAAGCGTCTTCCTCAGACTAGCCTTCAAGGGTGATCATATAATGAACGACATACGTCAAAAGCTCAAGGCGGCCTTATGTCGAACGTTTCCTGTCGCACAGCTTTGACTGGTGCCGTATACCCAAGGACTTCGTTTGGACAATCGAAAACCGAACCAACCGCACAATTCACCTTCACATGTCTTTACCTGTTCACAAGCAGCTGGCGTGACACTAACATCGGCCCCCGTCACAACGGATGTATGAACACACCCCCAGGTGGTTCATACAATCAATGACGCAACAGTCTTAGGGGTCAATCTGATAAGAGAAATCCAGGGTCATCAATCGCAAAATATCTAGTGACATTGTTGGCCCACATTTGTCGTTCAAACCGCTATTACGTAACACGAAACCCAGGATCTTGGCATTCAGTGAGGCGATGCTAAGCGAGTTACGTAACCCAATCTTCTGTGCACAAACGTTTCTGACACAATCAGACAGCCGTGGAACTGATTCCCCCCACCCTCTATCCTGACTATTGTCCAGTGAACCATTTTGGTTATCGAAACTCGCTTGTATAAATACCAATTTGTTTACGTTGCATCGACTGAGGACAATAAAAGAAATGTTAACATCTCGCAGTATTTGTCTTCTCTCTGTTCTACCGAATGGGATAAAGAGGACCCAATGTTTCAATATTACCATCCTGCTCCTCCGGATGAGGTTTTCCAAGTTTGCAGGGCACTTGTAGCCAACAAAGCTCTTGGTCGCGATTTATTATCCTTTTCTCACTAAAAACGTGTGCTGAGCAGCCTGCAACATATGTAACGTGCGTTTCTAATCCGTTAAGTTAGTCAGGATCAGACCTACCGCCCTAAAGGGTTCGCCAAAGCACGGTCCTAGAGTCCGTATCTATAACGAAGCTGAAAGCTGTTAAAAATATTTTTCTGCACCTAACGGTATTCTGACTCACCTAATCTTCTACAGTTTGCCAACAAATCCACGCTTGAGGCTGTGGCCCATATTGTTCACTCCTTTGCATATGGTGTAAGCAATGGTGGCGATACTGTTCCCCTGGCATTGACTATACAAATGCTTTAAGTTCCCTCAACCTTCTCAGCGTCCTTCTTGGTGGCTGAGACTGGGAGATTCGCCGTTCCCAAAAGCCCTTGTCCACAAATCTAAGATCGCTTGCATTCCTAGTGTTGTGAGATACTACTCACATTTGTGAGTAGTATGCAAAATAGTGGGATTGATTGAACGATCAAGAATTAACAAGACTGCCGAAGGCGAATTACTCTGCCTCAATGAATAACTACCAACTGCTCCATTCACTATCCGGTATGCTGCTGGGAACTGCAGTTATGTTTCAGATAAGATTTCTGTGTTATGTATGCCAAATCAATGATGCCTCAACTGTAATCTACAATGAACAACTATCCTCGATCGAGCACCGCCTTGTGGAATTATAACGCTAGTATTCGTTTATACTGCTATCCCATATGTTTCTTCTTTGAAGGACAATTTTAGTTTGTTTATCAGATCCGTTAAACGCTTGTCCCGATATGGAGGCATTATCAGAACTGTTTTCGTTAAGCTTCCTGATTACAAACAAAAAATCTTAATAATGCATCTGCGTAATGCGTTCTCTGACTTGGGAGGTACAGTTCTCGGACGTATTGTTTAAAAGTCAACAGAATACATTGATGTATAATGTTCGATTTACCGAGAGCATCCAATAGGTGAAAGTCGAAGGGAAAAAGAATGACATCCGTAGATGCAGCATTGCTATTTACTATTGTACCTGAGGTGAAAATAACTGATTTTATTTGTGACTTCACTGAAAAAAAGGCAGATAATGACCATTATCCTGTTGTGTAATCTCCAAAAGCTGTTACCTGAACACACTTCACGTGTCAATAGAAGCATACGAACGCTTTGATTTCGCCATTCAGTTTAGAAAATAAAAATGGGCAAGTTGCGAGTGATGCGATGAACTAGACGACAGCCTCACACGTATTGTGACCTTCCCACACCGTCCCGCAGCCCTACGGGTTAAGCTTTGATTAGCCGAAGGCTCCTGTTGTGAAATTCTACGAAATTTTCCCTGCTTTGGCCTGGGTAACTCGGAGGTATCCGTTTCACTATCCAACTATGGGCTTTTTCTTTCTCATAAAGGTTACTGCACAATAATTTGTTTGGAATTCAGTCTCACTTTCGGTCTTCACACCCAAAAAACATGCACTTTCGTGCGCCAGTTTTGGCTGCTGTTTTCTGGTTACCCATTTGGATGAAGCAGTAGGGAGAAGACAGGAAGGTTGAAAGTGGAGTCGAAAAGAAAATGGAAAATTCGAGTAGAGCGAGGTCGCAAAGAAATTGCGATGCACAAAAGCCTCTATTTATGATACTCAGTCATGAAACTCAGAATCTCAATCCCCAAATGAAACTTATCCCGAAATCCCTATTCATGGAGCCTAAGGCGACCTATATGACCGAGTCTCTTGGTTTTTCATATCCCCATGCCAGGTCTTAGTTTGACCACCCATGGCTTTTTTTCCCTACTAACTGCCTCAGCATGCGTCAGCATTGCAGCACACCGAAGTAAAAGCCAAGAGAAAGAAGTCGACTCTCTCAATTGTTCTTTTCTGACGCATCTCCCAGGAACTCCGACTGTTGGGAATTAAGGTAGCCCATAGGTCAATAGCAACTGGGGTGGGGGGTCGCCTCTTCAACGGCCGGGATCAAGCCGACCAGCCTGAACGATCAGGTGTAATCATTTTCTTTCTTTTTTTATTTTTTTTTCTTCCTTTTATTGAATACACAATGATACAATTTTCAGGAAGGGGGAAGCGGCCAATCAAAGGGCTGCTATGGGGAAAGTCAGGAGATGGCGGTGGGATGGTGACTTTACCACGGGGCCACCATCACTATTTACGCAATCCCGTGACTGGCTTGCAATCAACACTACCAAGGTGAAACGAGCAAACAAATACACACTCCTCTAGACAAACACGCGCTGACCCGAGGTCACAAATCTGGAACCATTGCACAACGAAAGGTCACTAGATCGCAATCGATAACGCAAAAGCGGTGGCGCCAGCTAAAAAGGGGTAACGAGTAATGGTCGAAGTTCTACACTCAGTCAACCGACACGTCGAGAAAAATAAACTACGTCGCACCCGCATAAGCCGTGATGATTGGTGGACTTAGAGAAGCACAAGCAGCACACAGGTACACGGAAAGACTGTAATCCCATTATCTCATTCGTTTATTTTGCGTTTGTAAAAGAGTCCTAGTTTGAATCGAAACTTTATGATGAACATTTTACAACTCAGTATACACCAATAATCTGTCTTGATATATATATATATGCATATATATACATGTATTATATATATATATATATATATATATATATATTGAGGCTGTTCATCTTGTGGGGGGGCACATGAACCTGATGTTGACGCTTCCAAGATCCTCAGTCGAAAAAAATAGACATGATTATTGTACTTACCGACAATCAAATATTCCCTTCCCCTCTTCCGCATATAGTTGGTGGATAAACTGACTGGTGTAATTCTTGCTAGCGAACTCCGCACGTAAAACTAAACCACGTTGAACATTATCTGCAATTTTTGCGCGAAGATGAACCACATCCTGACGCAAATCGTCAATCGTGAAAGGCTCCTCGTAGATGTAGGCAGCATCAGCACCTCCGGCTAGACCGCTCATTGTAGCCAAATAGCCACAGTAGCCACCCATAGTCTCAACAACGAATACGCGGCGTTTAGTCCCCATAGCACTCTGTTTGATTTTATCCAGAATCTAATGGTGGACAAGGAAATAAGAGAAGATCGTTTACTAGGAGTAGGAAAATAAAAGAATGAACAGATAAAACGCAAATACCCATTCCAAGTGCAACTGGTCCCTGAAACACAAGAAATGTTACAGAAATAGGCTAAAAGATTCATATTAGCAATTGTCGCTACCAGAAAACTATTAGAATACGAAGTAACATATTGGAATAGACAGACTTTCAACAACGCTAATATGCATAGTTCCGACTTCGTAACGTGGATCTATCAACGAAGGTGCGAAATCGGAAGTGCACGTTCCCAATGTGCAACAAAAAGCAGAGTATAGTGCAAACACTAATGATCTCCAAGTTCAATCACAACTAAAGGTCGATTACGGATAGATCCTATTATA